GAGGCAAAGGGCTGGGGAGACAGCTCCTCAGTAGAACACTTAGCATTCAAGCATGATGGTCAGTTCAATCCCCTGAACGTACATTCTAGAAGTCAGATGTGATGGCACACACTTGTAATATCAACACTGGGGAAGCAGAGACAGGAGAATCCTAGAGCCTACTTGGCAGGCTGCAGAATAGTGAGAGACTCTGTCTCAAAAAACAAAACAAACAAAAGGTATAGAGTGGCTGAATAGCAATACCCAAGACTGTCCCCTGATCTACACACCACACACACATGCATACACCACACATCCCACACACCATACACATACACCACACACATACCACACACACCACATAATACACACCACACATAACACACACACCACATGTTCACACTACACAGACACCACACACACCACACAGCGCACACATACATGACCACCACAAACACACACCAACACACACACACACCACACACATGCACACATCACACACACACACTATACTACATACACACCACATACATGCATACACCACACACACCCCACACCACATACTATACCACCCCCCATGCCACACACACACACATACTACACATCCACACACACCACATACACATATCACACACACATACCACATATACACACCACACATACACACCACACACATATCACACGTACACACACAACAACAACACACACATGCACACACCACACACATCCCACACATATACCACACACATACCACACACTCAAACATACATACACCCCACACACACACCCCACACACATACCTGACACATACACACACCACACACAACACAATACACACATGCATACATCACACACACACACCCCTCAAGGCCACAGCTGGTTGGACAAAGTCTCTTAGTAAACTGGGCCAAACAACACTTTTGAAACACAGAAGAGCCTGAGTAGGGCCCAGCTGCCTCAGCACCTTACTCTCTGCTTTCTGAGCTCTGAGTAATAACTAATGAAAGAGAGGCAAGTGTCTCTGTATAACTAGAGCCATGGGCTGCAGGAGGCATGACATACCTCCCAGGACACCCAACAAAAGTCACCAGAATGCTACAAAACCTAGCAAGGGTCTCAGCAAAGTCGCCATATTCAAGATGATCAGACTTTGGTTGGCTGGTCTGCTTTCTGATTTTTAAACAGTCTCACTACATAGCCCAGCCTGGTCTCAAACTCATGATCCTCCTGTCTCAGATTATGATCAATGCTTGGCAAATGAATGTTTGAACCAGCTGTCTCTTCAGCCAGCATTAACCAGGTAAAGTGGAACCAGTTAAAAAGGCCTTCGTCACAGCCCAGCAATGAGATTGAAGCAGCATACAAGAAGACTAAAAAATCTGTGTCTACAAATACCTTCAACATGTTCAACCTAAGAAAATGTGGAACTCAGAGAACAAGGTGTTATCATTCTCAGTGGGTGAATTCTCAATATAAAAAGTAAAACTGGGCCAGGGAGATGAGTCAGCAGGTAAAAGCACTGACTACCAAACCTGACAACTTTAGTTTAATCCCTGGAAGCCACATGTCAGAAAGGAACCAACACTCTCAAGTTGTCTTCAGAATTCCACATGTGTGCCACAGTATGACAGCCCCAAGTCTGCTTTCTCTCAGTCTCCATCTCCATCCACGTGATCCAGTCCTGGACACCTGTTGTAACACAGCTGACATTCCTAGAAATTCATCCCAAGGCGACAGGGCCAGAGATGAGCATGCAGACATTCACGGCCATGTAGTTTATATTTCAAAAATGTCCTCCAGTTGGAAATTAAGTAAACAGAGAGCAATTACATCTATACATAGGAAGGAAGGGCGGACTGTTCCTCAGAGTCACAGGGATGTAGACAAGAGATGCCTGAACCTCACCCTCAGCCAGTCTACCTCCACAAGCTGAACCTCAGCTTTTCCAGGAAGGGGCTTGGTGTCCTTCAAGAGTGTCCACTGAATGTGATACACCACCCAGGCAGAGAGCTGCTGACAAGAATCTAGCAGCCAACTGATGCTTCAGACCTCTTCAATGTTGGTGACATGTTGATAGATAAAAAAGCAGGTTACAGCAAAATGGTGTGTAGAAAGTGGCCCCATTTCTGTACAAAAGAAGGGGGGAAGGTGTCTCTACCCAGCTGTAGATGTGACTGTTCCTACGTCCCTGGAAGAAAGCCTGAGGGTTAGCATTCACCTGGGGACCTCACCATGCTGAACATGCATTTTGGCATAAAGTATAACTTCTTTTTCAAATGTATACATTGTAATGCACTTCTGATTAGAAAAAAAATGTTTTTTATTTCTTTTTAAAACAGTGTTTTAAATGTCTGTGTCCCTGTCCTGCACTGTTCTCCCCAACTTACTACCCTGGAAAGACACCCTCACTCATATCCAGGGTCCAGGATGGGAACAAGCCTTCTCAGCTATCAGGTACTGCCTCCTGTTAAGGGGACACCACAGTGGGTCTGAGGTGGCAAGCCCTAGCCCTAGATGAGCCAATGTCTCAGCAGGTTACCACAGTGGGAAGGTGCTGGGAAGCCCTCAGCATCACAGGAGTACCAAGGCAATGATAGGGGGCTCTTCTAGTAGAAGCCAGAGCATAGAGCAAAGGAAACAGAGCCCTTGGTTGAAAAAACGAAGAGCAAGGAATTCTTCTCTTGCCCCAAATATCAGCCGGGGAGGAACAGCACGCTGGGTTCCAGGAGGACTAACAGAAGCACAGGCCATTTAAGATCTTATTTGGCACAACTATACTCTTTAGTTGCAATTTACCTGCTACTTTGTTAAACTGCCCTCTTATTTTCTTCTTTTTTCCCCCCTTTGCTGAGCAAATTTGATATATTAATTAGGTGTTTTAACCTAAAAAAAATTCATCAGAAGGTCTCACATTACCATGGCAACTGTACAGTTCCAGTACATGCAAGTCACCAGCACAGCACGGCTGCCTATTAGGCCCCACTACATCAGGAAAAGGGGGTGACTTGTGCCCCCTGAAACACAGGAGTCCAAGCCCTATTCCCTCTCTGAAGGGTGTTCTTCTGCCTCAACTGCACTCATTCTACGTAAATGAATCCTAACAGCTTCATTCAAGGCACTGAATGGAAGGAAACACTACACCATGACTCTGTGCCCTGCTAATGACACAGACAAGAGGAACAGAGTGGTTACCCACCCAAAGAGCATTCTCAGCTGCAGGCCCAGGACCCTATTTGGTCACTGAAACCCATCAAAACCTAGTTAAGTGCTCGAGGTATGTCAACCCAGGGTCACATAGCCAAGGATAAGCACTGCCTGTGACATCATACAAAACAAGGCCTGGAGAGCTACGTCAGCAGCTCACCTCATGTAAGCCCAGAACAGTTAGTACCCTCTGTCATTTTACTATAGCAAGTAAGGAGGTATGTTCTCAAGTGACAGAGAGCACCACAGCTGACCTTGCTCCCATGGCCCTCGGCTAACCCTTGAGTTCTGAGGCAGCACACCCTGAAGAAGAAAGATGTGGACTTAGACCAACACTCACAGCCCCTGCGCTACATCACTTTCTGTTTCCACCCCGCTGCCTTGGAGACATGATTCAGAGACATGGAAGGGTGGCCAGCCCTTAGCTGGCACCAGCAAGTACTGAAAGCAAATGTGTTTCCCAGACCTCTTATCTTTTAGCTAGAAACCCAATACAAACCAATTTATTGTTCTCCTCCTTCTTTCAACCAGGTAGTTTTATTGGTATGTTGGTTGGTTGGCTGGTTGTTTTTTAACTCTGAGTACTTATGTTGAAAACAAAAGTATAACATGTGAGTCCTGCTGTCCCCAAGTTCAGAGCACAGTGACCGGGCACCTCAGAGCACAATATGCCTGATGCAGATGGGCCTGAATGCCCCTTCCCTGCTGACCATACTCAGCAGAGGCCTGGAACTCACTGGCCAGGCCTCATCCCCCCCCCCTTTTCAATAGGAATGCCAGCATGTAGCCTCACACGCTCTCCAACACAGGCCTGAGTTCTGATTACTGTAATTTCCTAAATGCTGCTTAAATTATTTATTGAAAATAAGTAGCTTGGGATCCTATGCTGAACTGCGTTCTAAAATTATAAAAAATCCATCATATCTCTGTAGGCTGCCGACAAATGAAAATGCATATTTCAACTATTTTAAGAAAATGTCAAAAAAAATCAAATGTGTCATGGCTGTACCATTTAAAATTATTCGCATGGCATCTGAAGGGAAAGGCTATATGTTACATGAGAATCCATTCCAACTCCTCCAAAGCTGCATACAGCAGGGGCTAAGTCAAAGGTCCTTGTACCCAGCACAGCTCCAGCTGCTGTGCTTTCAGGGCCAGATGTCTGGCACCTCCCATCCCCAGTTCGCTACCAGACTGCCCTGCTGCTATTCAAGAGACACAGGTCCCACAGGTCAACAGCTATCACTGCAGAAAGATTTCACAGAACACGAGTTCCCCGAGGGCGGGTCTTTGCACAAAGGCAAGGATGGATGGTGCAGCATAATCTGGCGTAGGTTCTGGTTTGCAGGGTGGAACACCTCAAACTGAAGGGCCCAGGCCCCTGTGCCACCTGTAGGGCCATCACCTCACTTCACAAAGTGCACATCAAGCAGGAATCTCCTGGAATTAAAAGTAATCACGCAGCCTGCACATCACCCATAAAGGAAAATGAAAACATGCGGTGCGCATTAGTGGGCGGTGTCGCGCCTGAGCCCGGAGCCTTCACCATCACCACTCTCACCTCGAAAGGCGGGCCAGAGCCTCATCTGCCCGCTGCGCTGTCACTGGAAACAGGACGCGCCACGGGGACTTCAGTCGTGGTCCAATAGTTTCCCTGGAAACGCAGACGCCCCAAGAAGCGGTCCCACCCAGGTGGCGACTGCGTCCCAACGCAGATAAATGCCACCCCCGCGTCTGCCCTGAGACAGCGCACGAGGTCTCCAGAGGCCCGGGTACCCGGCTGTCCCCGGGAGTCCTCAGTGGGCGGTTTCACTCACCGTCCTCCTTGTCATCAAACACCGGCCTCCGCGCGCTGGCTGCCGATATGGAGGACATAGACATCCTCTTCTTCCACTTGCTCCACTGAAACAGGGGGCGCGGCTGCGCGCGGGCATCGCCGGCGTCCCGGGCCCGGGGCTGGCTGGATGCCGGCGGCGGCAGGGCGGGGGACACATCGGAGCCCGCAGGGCGCGCACGACCGGGAGGCGGCGAACCGGGGGGCGCCGCGGCGCTGCTGCCCCTTCTCTCCGCGCCGCTCCTCATCGCCAGGCCTGGATATGCTCAGCGGCCACAGCCCGGAACATGGCCCGCGCCCGACCCTGCGAGAGCAGAGCACTAAGGGCCGACAGCGTCGGCCGTGTTTCTAGTATCGGCTCTGACTCGCTGGGGCAGTCGACCCGCCCGCCGATTGCGAGCAGCGGGGCGGGACCGGAGGGGTGGACTCAGGGTGGAGTCCGGAACCGGGGCGGGGCCAGGGCGGGGCTGGTATTAGATTCCGTGCGCTGCACGCAGCGTGGGCTACCCGCGGAGAAGGGTCTAGTTCTCGTAGGCTCGACCCTCGCACCGAAAAGGCAGCGGAGATAAAAGCAAGAGAGGACAGATGCTAGTCGTCTTCCTCCTATCTTGAAGTACCCAAGAGACCAGAAATGGGGACTTTTTCCTTCACAGGGCGGCGGAGACCTTTGGGGGCCCTGCAGGAATGCTGTGACTGACGAGCAATCGGGAATCCCCCTGGGCCTTCCATCCTCCGCTGTCTTCATAGAAAAAGTCGATTGGAGATTTCTGCTACTCGATCCTTAGAAATCTCAAACTTTAGGCCGCGGCTTTGCGCTGTGCGTGTAATGGGGGTCGAGAAGTATCTAAGCTGCCGTGTGGTGGCAGCAGGGTGCTATCCCGCTCTGAGGCCACAGGCGGCGCAGGATCTCGACGCCTGAGGAGGATGGGAGTAGGGCGGAGTCTGGCACGCAAGCCCCGCCCAGAACGGACATAAGGACCCTTAGCTGCAAAGAGGGCACATACGTACAGATGCGCGTGTCCAAAACCTTGGTTGTGCTTTACCCTAGTCTAGCTCCTCTGACCTCTCTTTGTATAGCTTATTGGGCAGCGAATAGAGTCCCCTAGTACAGGTTTGCAGCAAATACCTGGTGAGGGACACAAGTCATCTAGGGTCCTGTGTCCTCACTAGGGTCTTCACTGCTCAATTGGGAAGCCTGGAGTGCAGCTTAGCCTTTCTGTCTCAGTCCTGCTCCTTCACAAGGCCGGGGTGCTTGGCCTTCCAGTATCTAAGGCCTTGATCCTGGGAACCTTTTTTGATTTTCTCAGTGGTCTGACTTTTGGAAGTCTCTGCCTGCCTGCTTAAGTCCTGCCCTAAAACCTAGTCACAAAGATAGCCCTCCTCTCCACCACTGGACGACCTGGAGTGACCCTCCTTCTGTCCCTATGTTGATTGCGAGTGATCACAAGGCAGCAGGTTCCTCCCTCACATAATTTCTACAGCAGCCATCACCCACCACAGGTTCACCCATCCCTACTGCCCTAGGAATTCAGTAAGGCCCCCAACCTGCTTGGCTGGAAAAAGCTAAGTACAGGTGACCTAGGTCTTCCCTGGGCCAACATTTTAGAAGCTAGAACTCCACTGTTTTACATCCAATTTTGGCTGTACAAGAGCCCTTTTTTCATGGCCAGATAATGGATGGAGCTATCTGCTGACACAGGACAGAGCACAGGGGGCTTCAACTGTTTAGAGGGTGCGGCGGGATCTGCAGTGTAACATAACTGAAAGTCAGCCTCAATACCACAGGTCTCCTTGGAGTCTCAAGGTAAACTCTCCAAGGCAGAGACAGTGAGATAAGTCCTGGCAGTGGTCTGCAGGTTTCTGCACTGTGCTCCATTATGACCCCGTAGGCCTACTGACACCTGCTGCATGGCTTGCTCAGAGGAGGTCCTAGGCTTCCATTGTGTGGGAGAGAGAGAAGGCTAGCCAACCCACCCTTGCACATCAGAGTTCCCCAAGGGCCTTGACCCAAGTAGTGGCAACCTTTCCCTTCCAGACCTCTAAAAATGTCAGGAAATAAATAAAATGCAGAGTTATATCCTTCCTCCTCACCCACCCCTGCTTCCTGAGAATGGTACAGGGAACAGAAGGAAGAAGAGAATGTCATAGACAAGAAAATGATGGGAGAGGGGCTGGGAGGATAGCTTGGTTGGTAAAGTGCTTACCTGACACATAAACACGAGTTCCATTCCCAGCACTCACAGAAAAACCAGTCATGGCCGGATGAGCCTGCAGTCCTAGCTTAGGAAGATAAGGACAGGAAGATTCCTGCCTGGACTTGCTGGCCAACCAGTCTAGCTGAATAAGTGAGTTCCTGGATTAGTGAAAGACCTTGTCTCAAAAAATAAGTACAGAGTGAATTAGAAGAGGCAGCAACATTGATACCACTGATTGTCCAGGTATTAAATGGTTAATGTTAAACGCCAACTTGATTGGGTTGAGAAATATCCAATTGGTGTTTCTGGAGAGGATTGGCATTCGGGAAAGGTCAATCCCAAACGTGGGCCACACCGACCCATAGGATGAAGTCCTGGGTGGCATAATGGGGGCAGAGGAAGAAGCTGTCAGCACAGACATGCTTTCCCTGCTCCCTGTTCACGGGTGAGCAGCTTTGCTCACTACTGTCCTACTTTCAGTCTGGTGTTGTGGTAAGACACTGACCAAAAGCAACTTAGGAGAGGAACAGGATTCTTCCAGTTTACAGACCACAGTCCATCCTCTGGGGAATTCAGGGCAGGAACTTGAAGCAGAAAGCACTGGGGAATGCTGCGTGCTTCACGCACAGGCGCATGCTTACCTGGCTTTCTTATATAGCTTAGGACCACCGTCTAGTGTCCTCCTGTATCAGTTAACAATCAAGACAAACCTCTACACACATGCCTGCAAGCTAGTGTAATCCGGGCAATCCCTCGACTCAGGTTCACTTCTCATGGACTGTCAAGTTTAGAGCTAACGATAACTAGTACATTCAGGTATTTGTCACAGAGATAAAACGTCTGACTGAAAACTGGGAGAGCCTTCCTTCCAGCCGTAGATCATAGTCTAGAGATCCAGAGGTCAGACAGTAAGAGCCAGGCTAATGAAGAGCTCGTAACTGGAACAAAGACAGGAACGGCTATACCCAGATGCATGCTGCATCTAGCTCCCCACCAATGAGTCTGGAGTCTGAGCCAACCATGATTAAAGGGGCGCTAGAAGACTAGTAGGGGGTTCCCAAGCTCCCCAGTATTTTCAAGAGTCTCGACATAAACACTAAGTCCCAAATCATACCTGGGTATTTTCAGCTCAGTCCCGAATCTCCTCATCTAAATCAGGCGCATACCCCTCCCCTCCATCCCCACACATTTCCACTTTCAGCAGTTTCTGTCATACTGGGTAAACTGCTGTCCAAAAAACGTTAGCTACAGAGGCTGAGAAGATAATTCAGTCAGTAACACGCTCACAGCACAAGCCTGAGGACCTAAGCTAAATCTCCAGCATTTATGTCAAAGGCAAAGGGGGATGCTACACAGTAGCAATGCCAGCACTGAGGGGACGGGACAGGCTAGGGCTCAGCAAGCCTAGCTCAACCATTTCTTCACTGGAAGCCACCATCCATTATTAGAATCACTGGGTAGGTGCTCACAATTAAGTAACCCTGACTTTACTTACACTGGCTCCAAAGAGAAACAATGACACTAAGGATGTGGACATGTGCCCAAGAGGAAGTATGAAGTCCTTCCTAGAAGTAAAGGAGGGAAAATGCTCCCCATTACAAAGGAAATAAACAATCCTGTATTGAGATTGCTAAGATTGGTGGTTAAGAATAAATTTTGTCTATGAAATTATGAAGAAATACATGCTGGTTTTGCTGTCTCACGAAATGGCTAAACTTATACCACCGTGTTTGACAAGATGGGAAAGCCTCTGTGTGTGTGTGTGTGTGTGTGTGTGTGTGTGTGTTCTCACATGCTCAACACATGCACATGTATGTGCTACCCTTTGTTTAAGGCTCTTCTGGGGCTCTTGGATATACTCAAAACCTCTCTCCACTTGCAGTCCCAGCAGCTAGAAAACAGGCTATCTGCTTCCAGGCTGTAAGACAAGTATAAGACAGAAACTTCCATCCTGAGGAAAGAAATATGAGGTAAAGGAATCGCTAGGACCAAGCAAGATGAAACCTAGTAGAAAAAGCACAGGCCTCCCAAGACTCCTCTGAACTCCATGCTCCATTATCCTGGCCTGGAGAGACCCCTAACCGCTCTGGGTGATCCAGAGGTCCTTTTTCTGTCTCGAAGCATAGCACACATTTCAGTGTAACAATCCCAGCCTGTCTTCTGCTTGCAGAGTTGTGGAAGTCTAGCATCTTTCCCTCTCTCTGTCCCAAATCTGTCCATCCCAGCCCCAACTGGCAGCATTTCTGCTGACAGAACATTCTTTAAGGTCTCGAGAATCTCCTAGTTCTATCAGAAGAGTGCTCTGGACACCCATCTCCACTCCTCATTCAGTTTTATCACCTCAGCAACCATCTAGATGCATTTTTCCCCCAGTGGATTTCCTAATTTGAGCAACTTTTGTGACCTGGATAGGCCAGGAGGCTCCCAAGTGATAAAGTGCTAACTTGCTTCACTTAACAGAGCTTGTTTGTCTCTTTCTTTTCTTCCCTCCACTTTTACAAAGGTTCAGCACCTTTTATACTGTACTTGAAAATCTCACCTTTTACATCCAAGGTTCTCACTCCACATTAGACTTTTCACCCAATAGCAGAACACTATTCCTTCCTGGTCTCTGCTGCATTACCATGGGGAAGCATTTCCTCCAATTTCTAGGAATGTTCTCACCTGTCCTTCCATCCCAAAACCCTTCCTAGGCCACATCTCTAACCATCTCTTTAAGAACATTATACAAGCCCCTTCTAGATTATCAAGGACCACTTGCTGTGCTTAAAGTCAGCCACACCCACAAAATGCCTTTCCAGCCACTCCTACATTATGGTTGTATTAAGCTACTTCCAGACAAGTGGGCATATGCATCTAGCCCCTGCCCACTAAAGGATCAACTCTGTGGGGGAATAGAGAATATCTTAAAGCTCACATAGGGCCATTGGGTGGACAAGGGCGAGACAAGAATGTCACTCAACAATGTATGGATGTCTTAATAAATAGACACAATTTTAGTTCTCAGTTGAAAAGAAGATAATAAATAAATGTGAAGAAGATATTATACACTTAAAAATCACTCTATAAGCCAATATAGCAGAAGTGGGAAATTACAAGCAAGGGAGAAAAAAATGAGTAGGGAGAAAGGAGGAAGAAGAGGAACTTCAAACAAAGAAGAATTTAAACATCATGTGAATGAAAGGATAGGGAAAGGGCTG